TTGGAAGCATAGAGTGAAAACTGCAGACCCGCCACCATGAGCCAAAACTGGCGGCTCAGAGACTAAATCCAAACTCGCAGCTTGCAACTCATATTGGAGAGACTGACCGCACCTTCAATATTCAAGGGGCAACTATAGTAGGCCAAAGCACCTCAGAATCCAGACGATTGACGCTTGAGGTGTGCTATTCAAATGCTAACTCTTTCAACAGACATCTATACCCCCCTGCGCCCTACAAAGTCCTGCGCCATCAGGTGAATAAAGACCACGACAAAGTCATACAGGACTTCCGAAATGCGAACGAAGACGGCCCCGTGAAGGACCCACGGGAAGGAGGAAGTAAGATTACCAGCACTCTCCGCCGTGATGACGATGCGCAACACCAGGGGCCGTAATATTACTTCAAACATCCCTACGAAGGCCGAGGCAGCGAAGGAGCGAAAAAATCGATCAGTCCAAGGCCGGTCAGTTCAGCCAGACATTTAAATCGCTAATCGATAGTGACAGTCGATGCTTTGACAATGGAATACCGGCCAGGCTCTCCTAAACGTCGGCAGGAAACAAAAGCCCTTTCGGTGATCAATATTATGTTTTCAGGTAAGCATAACCCATTGTCAGCAACTTGAGAATTGGCATCATTTCGCCGCACTTCTGCCGCGTATTCGGCAATTCGCGTCTTGAGAAGCCTGCCAGACGCGAATCGCCGAACATTCGACGAGACCCGTCTACACATTCAAATTAGGTGAGGCCGACATTCTCGCAAGAGGGGCAATCGGGGTGAGCCGAGAATTACTTGAGTCATGGTTCACGGGCCCCCAATCCATCAACAGGTGCAACGATTTGCCCAATCCATATTTGGTGCTAAGATCCAATTTGGCCAAAGCAAGTCGCCGCTTGAGGAACGGACAGGCCACTGCCTCATCGTATACCAGTACCGGAGGGCCAGATGACCGGGCAATCATCAAGCCCGAGTTTACCACGCGTGATGAAAGGATTAGAGGTTCAACGGACCACCAACACTCAAGCAGGCAATTACGGTTA